TGAAAAAAAAGAATAAGATAAGACTACAAGAACAAGAAGCAATTTATATATGTTCAGGGACCATTTTCATCTCCAGAATTAAGGATTATTTTAATGTTACATCATTGCCTTTTCTCTTTTACTTTCCTTTTTAGCTTTATTTTAGGATTCCCTATTTTTAATGTTCATACAGAGATTTTTAACTGAAATTTTTTGTTTGTAAATGGGGAGGGGAGGAGGGGGTGAAGGGAGGGCAGGGACAAGGGGAAAAAATGAGAACCCAGACCTGTCATGTAAAGGTACAGGATCCCAATGATGAATGTAACTGTATTGTATACCTAGATTGTACCAATAAACTCAATAAAAAGAAAAATAATAATAATATAAAGGGGCTAGGAGTGTAGCTGCTCAGCAGAGTATGTGCTTAACACGCTGGAAACCTGGGGTTCAATCCCCGCCATTGCCACTGTAAATTAACCAGTAAATTACGTGGAAATGCAATATTGAACATGGAAATGTTCACCATGCACTATGAATGTAACTGTATTGTATACCTAGATTGTACCAATAAACTCAATAAAAAGAAAAATAATAATAATATAAAGGGGCTAGGAGTGTAGCTGCTCAGCAGAGTATGTGCTTAACACGCTGGAAACCTGGGGTTCAATCCCCGCCATTGCCACTGTAAATTAACCAGTAAATTACGTGGAAATGCAATATTGAACATGGAAAGATGTTCACCATGCACAGTTCAGTGGGGAGAAGAAACAAGTTACAAATTAATATGTGCATTGTGATTACATTTTTGTTTCTCTGGGTGTTCGCGTTTATCTTAATGAATAATTATTACCGTGTCATGAAAAACAGCATTCACAATATCATCCCTGAAAGCCCCATAGCAGCATACAGAACTCAACACAATGAGGGGAGGAGAGGGCAGAACACAGATTGCATATACCCAGTGATTACAGTTATGTAAAAATTGTGGACCTTGGAAAGAAAGGCCCAACAAAAAAGAAAAAGTGTGATTTGTCAGGATGGAAAGATTATGGGTGATTTTCTGTCCTTTTCACTTGTTGTTACTATGTTTAGGTAATTTTTGGTTTTTAAGGGAAGAAAAAAATTCCTTTCAGAGTTGCTCCTCTGGAGCCTCTGCTGTCCTTGGAACGGCTGTCTTTATGGTAAGGCTGCTTACTAAAAAGAGCGCCTCCTGTGGGCGGGGGTCACAGCTCACTGGTACCTTACATGGGGAAGGGGTGGCCCTTTCAGCATGGCTGGCCCTGGCTGGGTAAAGTCTCTATCGTCACTACCCTATTTCTTAGCATCCCTGAGCCCTGACCCCAGGCGCCAAATGTGGTTCGGTCAACCAGTCCTCCCTTTGGGTTCTCTAGCACCTTCAGGGCCCTCTTTGTTGGCTATCTTGGACCCCAAGGGTCAAACCTGCCAGCTGAGAAGCGTCACGTCTCAGAGCTGCCCCCCTTTGGGACAGAGCAAAAGCTAAAGCAAACCAGCAACGATAGACGAATGCATGTTCAACTGCTCCCAAACCAGGCACTCACACACACAGTTCCAGGGCTGTATCACTCTGTGCCACACACCTGAGCAAATTCGTTCAAGGCCTTTAAAACGTTCACCACCTCTGGTTCAGCAATCTGGATTCTGATGTGTTATGAATAATAAGGATATGAAGATGCACTACAAAGACAGATCATGCAGCATTTTTCATAATAGGAAAACACTGGAAATAATCTAAATGCCTAACGATGGGAGATTGGTTAGATAAATTACGGCACATCATACAAAGCTGCCAGAAAAAAATGCAAGACACCCAGTTAAATTATTAGAATTTAAGACAACCATAAATAATTCTTGTAGTGTATGTTCCAAATATTACATAGGATATATTCTAAGACAGTATTTATCGTTTGCCTAAATTCAAGCTGGGCCATGGTTATACTAAAAATGTGTTTGTTGTTTATCTGAAATTCTAATTTACCTGAATGTCTTGCACCCACACATCCATATGATAGAATACTACATAGCCACTGTAACTCTTGCTTTTAGATGTGATTTGCAAGTCATGTTTCTCCTCTCCCTGTGATTTGAAGTAGAATTTCTCTTATTTTTCATATTTTAGACTTCTGTTTAAGACTTGGTTTGAAAGTAAAAATTCCTTTGGTTAAAGTCTGAAACCACTGCTTTAGAAAGTTAATTAACAACAGGAGTGAATGCTCACAAAATACTACAATAGGGGCAGTGACATACTTCTGTAATCCCAGCTACTCAAGAGGCTGAGTCCGGATTGAAAATTCAAGGCCAGCCTGGGCAACTTAGTGAGACACTGTCTCAAAATAAAATAAACAGGGATGGTAGAGCAACCCTGGGTTCAAACTCCAGTGCTGAAAAAAAAAATTAAGCAAAAGAAAAATACATTGAAGCGAGTATAATTAAGATGTCAGCAAATCTTTTTCTTTCTTTCTTTCTTTTTTTTTGGTTTTTTTCAGTCAGGGTCTCACTATGTAGTTGAGACTGACCTAGAACTCACTATGTAGCCCAGGCTGGTCTCAAAATCACAGTGATCCTCCTGCCTCACCCTCCTGAGTGCTGGAATTACAGGAGTGCATCACCACGCCCGGCTCAACAAATCCTTTTAAGAGGTAGATACTATCTCTGAGTTTGGGGATATAGAATATTTTTAGATTTCCTGAATATTTTTTTCTCCTGTTTTCTACAATGAACTAATATATTTACATTTAGGAAAATATTATGAAACAGATCTCTCCTCTTGGGTGACATTAAGACTTTAACTTTACATCTCTGTATCTGTGACTCTTAAACTTGGGGGTTATGATGTCTCCCACTGGGGACCCAACTCTGGGTCCTACTCAGATGGTGTCCTCACGGCTCACTTGTGCACCAGCCCTCCCCTCCCTGGGTTCTGGATTCTTCTGTAACGCAGTCCTTTCAGTCTGCCTGCTCCTAAGGCCCCTGACCCTGTCTCAGAGCCAGCGGGAGGTGAGGGCGATCCCTGAGCTGCTCCGAGGGCCCGTTGGCTTCAGGAAGAAAAGCACACACGTCCCTACAGTACTGCAGGTGGCTTTGGAGGGGTTCACAAACCCCTGAGGACCATTAGAACCCAGGTTCAGAACCCGGGGAAGTGGCCCTCCCCAGAAACCCGACATGGCTAAGAGCCCTGTGCATGTACGCTCGGCAGGGAAGAAGTTGGGGCAGCAGAGAAATGGGACGCAGTCGGCACCACTGTGGAACATTTAGTTTGCGGGGACTCTGAAGAAAGGAAGCACCAAGGGAAAGTCAGAGCTGGCACCACTCGCTTCCTCCGATCTGCGCCTCTGGATGGTAGAACGTGGGGAAGACGCTGGAGCTTTGCTTCCATTCCACGCTGACCACTGGCTATCTTTGAAGATCTCTGGAGCAGCGGTACTGAGAGCAAAGCTAATCTGTGCCCCAAGCCCCTCAGTGCCTTGCCACCTGACAAGGTGAAGGAGGCTGTGGGAGCTGGGAGAAAGGGCTGCATGGAGGGGTGGGCACCCTGGCAACAACTATCTGGATGGGAAATGTGCACATCCCCACTGACACTGTAAACACGCCATAGATGCTGTGGTGCGTGCCTGTAGTCCTGTTATTGTGGGAAGCTGAGGCAGGAGGATCGCAAGGTTGAGACCAGCCTGAGCAACATAGTGACTTAGCAAGACCTTGTATCAAAATAAAACATAATAAAGGGCTGCAGATTTAGCTCAGTGCAAAGGCCTTAGGTTCAATTCCCAACACTGCTCTTCCTTTCCTCAAAAATACCAGAGGCTACTCAAGGCATGTCCCTCAAATCAACCACTCCTGCAGGCTTCAAACGTCACCCTGACTCTGACTAGGCAAAAGCAGTTTTCTGAGAGATTGGAGAGCGCTGCCTTGGGACTGCAGTTCTCACAGGCAGCAACAGCACACCTGGAGCCCAGGGCTCACTGGCAGCCGGGCGGGAGCAGCTGCACGTTGCCCTACTCTGGTCAGCAGTTCCCTTTCTGGGTCTGCATGCACAGCATGTGCGCGTGCATGGGGGGTAGTGTGCCTGTATGTGGACACAGGCCTGTGTGTATCGGGGCATAGGTGTCGGGGGGTGCTTGTGTGTACAGCACACACACTGTGGGTACTAAAGCTCTTCAGACACAGAGGGGTTCATCCCTCTGGCTAAAGATTTGCTTATTTTAGAATAGATTTTCCCCCCTAAATGTCCGAACCACGTGAGAGAAAGCAGCCAGCACTGGATGAAATATCCCTCCCTATGTTGCACACACATGCCGAAAGCAGCCACCGGGCCTAAGGAAGAGAGGCCGGGATCTCTGGCATCTCATCCTTCATCCTGCCTCTGGGGCCGCTTGATTACTGTGACATCTCAGAACATCTGTGTCAGATGTGGGTGTCTTAAGAGGGGACAAGGACGGAATCTAAGGAAGCCCCTCTCCTCTGGGCACCACTGCTCACCTGCCCTGAGCCCGACCTAGGGACCCTCCGTAGCTAGCTGAGGGAACTGTGTGCTGTGGGCAGGAGTGCTCAGGGTAGGAAGGAGGCGTCCGTTCCACGGCCGGTCCTCAGCCCCTGTCAGATGAGTCAGTTCTGTTCTCACCAAGGGAGGCCCATGCCCTGGAGAGGACTGTCCAACGGCTGTGGAAAGACGTTATGCAGCACCCTTTCTTCTTGGGTTTGGACATTGTCTTTCTACTGAACTGCAGGAGGTGTGAACTTCCCCATCTTTAGATGAGCCCAGATTCCTGGAGCTTTGTGGGGCCTCATGCCCTACCATGCTCGGGAGGCTGAGTTTCCTCTCCCAGGTGGTCTGGGGAACCCTGCAGGTGTGGTGCTAGTGGGCAGGGAGTGGGTGGCAGAGCTGGGAGACTGGCAAGGAGTCCTGGGGACCTGACCCTGGAGTTTCCTCTGCACACTTCATTGCAGCTCTGTGAACCAGGGGCAAAGCTACATCTGAATCTCAGGGTCCACAGTTGCTGTAAAAATCCACCCAGCCTCAACCTCTGCACCTGCAAAGTGAGGGCAATGGCAGAGCCTCCTCCTCAAGGGGTTAGGGAGAGTCCGTGAGGTGACGCATTTGAATCAAAGTGCCTGGCTATCTCCACCCATCTTGGGGACTGGGGCCGTCCAGCCCCTTTGAGCTTGCTGGCACCTCTGCTGAATTCAGTTTCCCCCCTGCACGATCCTGAGTCTGCTCCTGGACAGGGGCACACCCAAGGCACAGCCCAGGGAGCTTGCTGCCCACAAACCTGTCTGAGTCAGCTGCTCCCAGGAGAATCAAAGTTAGAATGAGTGAGAGGACCAAGCCTCAAGCCCTGGATGCGCCAGCTCCGGGGCAGGACAGAGGAAGCCCCAGCATGGCCAAGGGGATGGCCAGTGAGCACAGTCTCCTGAGGCCAAGAGTGACAGAGAAGAGGGAGGGACTGACAGTGGCAAAAGCAGCTGACAGAAAAGAAGGATCAGGACTGGGAGTTACCTAGACGGCCCGGCCCTATATGGAAACCTTGACAAGAACAGTTTGGGGAACAGCAGGGCTGAAAACTGGACCAGAGTGGATTTCAAAGAGCAGGAAGGGAGAGCAACAGCACAGAGGCACAGACAGTGCTCCCAGGGGCTCTGTTATTTTATGGCAGCACAGGCACAGAAATAGCACGCTGTCTCGCCAGGGCACTGTGGGGGCTGAGATCCACCCCTAGGTGGGACATCTGCCTTGCCCGCTGCCTTGTTTCAATTTCATCTTTTGTGCCTTGCCTACATTTTCCAGTGTGTGTGTGTGTGTGTGTGTGTGTGTGTGTGTGTGTGTAAGCAGAGGGGCAGGCTCAGCCTTGGGTGGTGGCCACACTAGTCTCAGGCTCTCTGAGAACTCGGGATGGAGCCCTCCCACTACCGAGCTGCCTTTGCAAGACAAAGGCCAGGTTCACAGGTATTACCCACCATGCACTCTGACCCTTCTTAAGGACCCCACGCCACAGCTCCTCACCACAGATGGTGCCCAAAAGAGCTTCTGCCGGAGCTATGCACTGGGCCCCTGGATTTGGTTTATGAAATTGTCTTCTGCCCCAAGGACCACTTACTTACAACAGCCATTGCCATGGCAACCGAGCAGCCAGCCCCGCTGTTCTAGCTAACAGCCATGAACCTCCTGCTGGCTGTCTGGCCTAGGGAAAGGCAGGGAAAGATAGACTTGAACAAGCTGGACCACAGTCGGGGATGTGGGAAGTGAAGGAGAAGAAGGAAAGGTGTTGGTAGTGCTCCCAGATCAGTGCTCCCAGAATTTCTCTCAGTTCTCCGCTCTCCATTAATGGGGTATGGAGACAGGACAGTCCCAGAGGACCCCAGGTCGTCTGTGGCAGTGCCACAGGCCACTTCTTCAGGGATGCCTCCCCTCCCCAGGCCAATGCAGGTGGAGGGCACTGGCCAGCACCTGCCCAGACATGGCCACTCTACTGGGGCTGCGACTGCCGCACCCCCTAACTCTCCTGAATGTCTCCAGTCAGAATGAACTACAGCCCCGTGAGCAGGGATTCTGAAGTCACACAGAGAAGTGTTCACTTGGTAACGTACGAAAGACCCTAAAGCAGGAAGCTCTCAGTAAGCAAGGGCCTCAATCTTATTTCTGGTATTATTGCCAGTAATGACCTGGCATGAGCACAGCTACAGCATGGCATGTAACTGAGAGGCTTAAAAGAACTCAGATTCATAAAGCAGGGTAGTACATACCCCATGGTATTTTTGTTTTTATAAAAAAGTTGCCAGTGGATATTTCCACAGTGCTACATTTTTCACTGTCATATCTGTTTTTCTGTCTTTTTAAAACTGAACATGTAATGCCTCTGTAATTAGAAAAAAACTCTTTTAAAGATTAGAGATGAGTAGTAAAAATGAGCTATGGACTAAATATCACTGAACGGTACACTTTAAATAGATGTGTTGCATGTTATGTGAATTATATCTCAATGAAGCTGTTTTTTTAAGCCTTAAAATATGAATAAAGATATGCAAGAATAATCTGTTCAAACAATCTTAACACAGCGGATGTGCTTGCAGTCCCAGCTACTCGGGAGGCTGAGTCAAGAGGATTGCTTGAGCTGAGAAGTTTGAAACCAATGGGGCAACATAATAAGATCTCATGTCAGACAAACAAATGAATAGGGAAGCTTAACATAAAAGCACATAAACTCTCTGGGAGTGGGGCACACGCCTGTGATCCCAGCACAGCGGAGGTTGAGGCAGGAGGATTGGGAGTCTGAGGTCAGACTGGGCTATAGAGTGAGATCCTATCTCAAAAACAAAAAAGGACAAGCTAAAGAAAAAAGTAAAATAAAGAAAGAAAATGTGGCAAGAACTGAGAAGCAGGGCTATTATGTAAAAGTTGAAAAGTCAGTTGATTATTTCTCTTGGTGAGACAATAGGATATCAAGTGCTTGTAAATAGTGCGGGGAAGATAGATCGGTATAAGTGCCAAAGAGGGAAAATTGATGAAGACTTCAAATGCTACAGATGCTTACATTTTCTGGCTCAGCAATTCTTTCTTTGAAAATTATCCTATAAAATATTCTAGTGTGAGAAGTGATATATATACAAGATTAAGAATTGTACATCGCTTGTGCAAGTAAAAGACTGGAAATAGTCCAAATGTCCATCTCCAGATGACTAGATCAATAAGTTAAGGTGGACTAGGGATTTAGCTCAGTGGTTCCACCAACTGCCTTGCAAGCATAACGTCCCAAGTTCAATCCCCGGTACCAAAATAAATAAATAAGTTAAGGCATAGCCACGTGATGAATTAATATGGAGCTGGAAAAACTACAAAAGAATTAAGAAATACCTTCTGATATTGAAAGACGTCTACACTACATTATGAAGAGAAAAACATCAGTATGAAATAGTACATCTGCCTCCTTTTCTATAAAACTGGGAAAAGACAGAGCATACTGGGGATTGAATCTGGGGTCTTAGCGCTGAGCTCCATCCCCACATTTTTTTTATTTTTAATTTTGAGACCATGTCTCACTAAGTCACTGCCCAGGCTGGGCTCAAACTTGCAATTCTCCTGCCTTAGCCTCCCAGAGTACTGGTATGACAAGTATGTACCATCACTTCTGGCTTTTTTTTTTTTTTTACACAGGGGAAAGAAATTCTGAAAGGATACATGAAAATAACAGTAACTGAATGAAAATTGAGCAACTGGGGGATAGGACTTTCTAGAAAGAGACCATTCACCTTTCTATATTTTTTGGTCTTAGAACTT